AAGGTTGTGAGCACCACCCATTGGTGGTCGAATACACAGTAGACTCAGTAGTGGATAATATTGGCCAGTCAGACATGCCATGAATGTGAACACAGTGGGTGGATATGGAACCATTTTACCTGCTCTTTGCTGGCCTCCTCATCAAACTACCCACTGCTTTAGCGCCTGCCGAAATGAACATCATGTTAAGTGTCACTTCCTTCATCTTAACGAGAAGTTAGGCAATTAAGTTTGCGGATTTGTATGGATTTGATAAAGGATCATGCTATGAAAAAAGGAAACCGTGTGACTGTCTCTCACAAGATTTACATTTGTTTACCTTAAAACAGCTGCAACCTTCTGAAAGCTCCATTCGAAAGTGAGCTTACGTCGAGCAGCTTTTAATATATGATTTGGCATGCGGCATGGTTCTAGTCAGAGTATTTACAAGAAATACACTGGTGCTCAGTCATCCTCCAACTTCATTCATTCATCATACATATTCATACTGCAAGAGGGGTTTTGATGGGCGGAGGTGGTCGTGCATGAGGGTGCTGGGCACAGATATATGGACGGCAGCATGTTTGCCACGTTGTTTTTTGACGCCATGTTTACCTTGTGTTGACAACCATTCATAACCATTTGAACGAGACCAGGACACGATCTAATTCACAACAACGGTGCCATCATTGGGGGCTTTGATGTGAACTGCAAGCCCTCAGAAGATCAGACAAAGCCCTCAGACAACATGGACATGATGGCTTATGCGCATCACGGCGTCGGAAATCAGATCAAGAAGACTTCTTGAGATCTCTTTTCACGGCCGCCTCGGCGGCCTTGTCACTACGGTTTGAGTATGTTTGAGTCAATTCGTATATGTTCAGCAGTTCAGCAGTCCAGGTTTGAGAACACAAAAAAAGACTGACAGTTCAGACTGACATGTTCAGTTCAGCTCGGTCAGCAGTTCAGCTCCGCCGTTTTTCTTCGACTCCTTCGTCCTTCCGAGGCCTGAGACCCGCGCGCTCGGGGGCCCAGGACGGACCCGGCGGCTGGTCGGGGATGGTGAGATCAAAGCTTGTAACACTTGGCCGTTTGACACGTAGCTACCGTAGCAAACGTACTGTGATGTTTTTGGGTCCTTTTGGGATCTTTTTGGAGGAATTGATGGCTTTTCAGATGTTGTTTTCAACTTCGGATGGAGAAGTTCTAAAGTGCTTTTCTTTTGTTGTGGGGGCACGGGGGGGTCTAAAGTTCCCAAGCTGGACATGGCGCTGGAAGCATGGGTGCCGTGCTTGAGTTTGGAGATCTGTGAGAACAGACGGATTCGTAAACTGAGCTTCCCTTGGTGCCCAGACGGTGTGTTTTGAGTGACCTGCTTCTTCCGAGCGACATGGGGCATGGGCGTTTTGGGACCGATGCAGAGCGATGTGAATCCAGGCCTGTGATGTGAAGAAACACATGCTAAACCATGCTAAACCATGCTAAACCCAGACCGATCCAGGCCTGGGTCACTGGGTAAACCATGGCTAAACCCGACCGCGGACCCAGGGCCGGACGGTCAACCAGCTAGCGCCTAGCGCGGCTCGTCATAGTGCGGAACTACACCGTGGAGAAAAAGACACGGAACATGAGCAACCTCGCAGATGGTGAACAAATAGCAGCAACAGCCTAGGCCTAAGCACAATACAATAACAGTACTGCTACAAATAAAACAGTAGCCGTATTTGGAGCTCAAAAAAGTTCTTGTAACAGTCTTCCCGTCTGGGGCTCCAGTGGTACCGAGCTCCGAGCAGGTTCGGTGGGACTGGGTTTCAGGGCCGGTCGAAAAGCTTCAGGGCCGGTACGACTGGCCCAAAGGGGCCGGGCTTGTAATAAATGCCAAGAGCGGATTAATAAACCCCCCCCACATGGTAGGTCAACAAGGTCAAGATGATATGAGATACCACTAGAAAAACCACTCATGAGGTCCACTCCACATGTGTCCACAAATTGGCCACGACTCTGTGTGTGTCAAGTGCTTGTTTCGTCGAGTTGTGTCAGGTTTAGCACGCCGGACCATGAGTCGACTCCGAGGGAGCGAAAGAAAGACCGACCTGTGACAAGCTCGCTCCATCGGAGGACCAGGTCTCACACCAGGTGCTGGCCCATCATCACTGGGCGCACTGGGCGCTCACCGCTCGTGCGGTGCTAAGGTCTTCCCAATCACAGTCGCGGCCCACCACAGCTGCTTCCATAGCGCTCGGCCTCCCCAGCTGACGCGATGGGAACACGCTTGCGTGCCCCAGGCCACAGACTGCAGAGCGTTGCCCAGAATCAAATTGGTTCCAATTCCGGTTGTTCTACTGTGGGCCGGAGACGCAGCAAGACAATTATATATTATATTTATCATATTTTAGAGATCAAGGCCCCCAAACTCGCTCCATTCAAAGGAATTCTGTGGATTTCGCTTCAAAACGTCCGGTATGGAGTCTACTGAGATCGACTGGTGCGGACCGGCGGAGCTCGCCGAAGACCGATTCTCCACGAAGGGTGGTCCGGTCTAAAACCCCTGGCTCAGGTGTCGGGTCCGACCCCTGTCATGGAGGGCCTGAGCTCGGATTCTTAGGGAAGCTGATATGACCCAGACATGTAGCTTGAAACCTTTATGCTGTCCCTGATAGGCCTGTCCCAAGCCTGGACAACGGCGGTTGATCTGCCTTCGATTCAACAAGTACATGTTGAATCATGGAAAACATGTATTTTGGTTGGATTGCAAAGCACATGTAACATGTAAAGCACATGAAAGGTAAAGACCACGCATCCTGTCGGACCCAGGTCGGAGCCGTTACCCTTCACTTGGCCGCCGTCGGATGCTCGGTGGGACGGGTGCGCCCGGTGGCCGGTGAAGGCACAGAGTACTGTTTAAGGATTGTACTGGCACCCCAGGTCACCCCAATAGGTTTTTTGCCTTAAGATATGTTGATATATATATATATATATTACTATAAACATATATGTATAACATGATGTGATATTACATAGCTATATGTATATTGGTGTCCATAATTGTCAATATAAACCACCAAACATGGGGATAGTGCCATCTACTCTAAAACCACTGTAAGATATCTTAAGTTCTGGGGTGCTTGCTCATAGGTCAAATGTGTAGTATATAGACTGTTTTTTTTTTTTTTTGGGGGGGGGGGGGTGATGTTGCAAGGTTTCTATGTATTTGTCCAAGGAAATGAGCCTTCTAGAAGATGACCAATCACCGGGTTTGGGCAGCCAGAAATGTTGTAGAGAACCATCATGCCAGCAAGATGTGGTAGGTTTTGTATCATCTACACCCATTAACCAATCCTACGCACCAAGGATAAATACACCATCAACCTCAATCTCAAACCAAAAAATACTACATACACTTGTAGCAGTCACTGTAGTTATTGCATGCCTTTTCAGACTGCCCTGCCCCCAAAAATTCCACCACTACACATCACATACACGCATACCCCAGCATCCCAAGCATCGCCCCCCGGCGCTCCAACGCTTGCTCCCTCTGTGGTAAGTCCTTCCTCCAGGTCAGAGGCGAAGTCGAGTGTGCGGACCGCCTCGCCCCGGAGGCATCACCACCTCCGCGGAAGAGTCGGAAGTGGTGTTTTTATGTGTTTTTCTTCCGGAAACTCAGTGAAACTCTTAGTGAAAACCATGGTTTCCTGTAGAGCCTTTTTGGATGTTTTATTGATTTTTCTCAAGTGTTGTCACGTTTGTGTTTTCAATTCCTCGTGGGAAAGGCCAGCTCTATGAATTATTTTGGGTTGTTATAGGTCCTTATACAAGGTTAGAGAAGTGTTCAGATTTTTGTTGATGCTTTGGTTCTTCACAAAGGTTCAAGTACAGGGCATGGGATTGAGCAGGCCAGGGGTGTCATGATTTTGAGGTGGTGGTGGATTTGCGTTCTGTGGGATGGCCACCATCATCCCGGACACATATATATGTCTTTTTGAGGAGCACAACTCCTTAAGTGGTGGTCAAGTGGTGGTTTGTGTGATGGTCATCTACCGACAGATTATGAGTCTACAAACCCAAATTGCCAATGTTCAAGGCTCTTGCGTAACTGCGCGCTACGGACGAAAGTTTGCTGATTGTTGCCTTTTGGGAGAACATCCTGTGCCCGACACACCTTTGAGGATGTCAAAGGCCCAACAAAAAACAATGAAGCCTTTGACGTCAAAAGATGATAAGTTTCCCCAAATAACCGTGGTTTTAAGAATTGTGTTAATTGAATCCTTGGCCCCTTAGACATCTGGAACAGCGGGGGGTGTTCTTTTGTCCACCAGGCCATGCCAGCAAGGGAGATAGATGCTCAATCCAAACCGAGTCCTGAAAGCTGATGAGTCTGTCCATGATGGGTGTGACTGACTCATGTGCCCGGACCCAAAAGCCTCGGACTCGTGTGGGTGGAGTATGGTGCTTTGTAAAGCTATATAGAGTCATGCAGAGTATATAACTAGTACGTGTCGGAGACTAATTTGGCATTCAGGTCTATATAACATATGTGTATATATATATATTGGAAGTAGTTGTTTTGTATACATATATGTTTTAAACCTTATATATGCATTTATTTATTTTAATGGTTCCTAGTTTTATCACCACGACCCACCAACCCTTTCCACCTTTCCATGCACCTATTCCATCCGCCACCGAAAGGACACCATGCCCGTCTTCCGTCCACAAGGAGGTGTCCAACAGATTTTCTTGTCAATGTGTAAGTTGAGGTAGAACAATCCCTTCCCCACACATGCAAAGCTGTTTGCCTTTCGGCAAGTTCATTTTTTATTGTGAAAAGGCAGACATGTTGCACAGTTGGTATATCAAGGTAGCAAGAGGTATAAAAAAGTATAAGCCTACATTGACTCCCCCTCCCCTTCCGCACCATGCCCCATGCATACCACGCCGGCGGTCAAACCCCTCCACTCGACCGGTTGAACGGTTCGACTCACCTCGTTCGATCGACCTGGCGCCACGCCTTTCGACTGGGATCAAGTCAATGTCGCCATGCCAACTGTACCGTTGCTTTGCGCCTTGGTGAGAAATTGTGCCCGTTTGGCCTCCAGTTGTACCTTCGTTTCGTTTCGTTGGGACGGTTGGGGGCCCGGGTGCCAAAACCGTTGGGTCCAGTCATACCGAACCGCTTCGGAGGTACTTGAGGAGGTACTTGGAGGTGTAGGGGTGATGTGCTTCTATTCGCCTTGGGTGTTTTGTTTCCATTCTCCCAGTGAATGACTCCACTGGAATCAAGGAATTCATCAGAGGCCAGTCTACCCGGGCCAGTGGGTCATCCTCGTTGGAAAATGCATACCGGAGAAGTGAGGGTACGTATGCATTTGGTTTGTTGCCTGCGTTTTGACCTTTTGGGGCTACTAGAACTTGCATTGTGTTATCCAAATATGATGAGAAGGCCTTTGACAACTCGTTCTGTTTGGGGGTCTCATGGGTTCTGAGTTCCAACAATTAAGAAAGCAAAACGTAGAGTCAGCTGCGCTAACGAATCACCGATGCTTTCCATGGCTTGTGGAAGAGATTTGGTTTGTTGCTATGCTCTAGAAGGGCTTCAAATCAATCATGAGTTGGGGAGGTATCATACTGAATGTGACTTCAGTGACGATGTAGATGTCTCCCGGACAGCAAGTGGGACTAGACTCCCGGAGTCATGGCAAAGGGAGTGGCGGAGTTCACGCCTTCGGAGAGGAGTGTTTCTGGTGCGGGCGATGAAGAATTCGAACACGGCCAGCAGCCCAGGTGTTCTTCTTGCGGGGGCTTGGATCGCTCCCATCGCTGCTGATGATGACTGCAGTTCCCTTCTTCAACTTCCATCCCGGGTACGTGTGAAGCCAATCACAGGCGTGTCACATGAGCCGAGAGAGAGGGGCCATTGCCACGGCGAGAGCAGTCGCCGGTGGTGAGCGTGGACCAGATGACAACGGTCATATATATATATATATATCAATATACACATGGTAATACGGTAATACAATAGAATATGGTAATTTATGTACAAGTGGGGCATTATGCATTTAAACACAGGTGTTGCAGGAACGTTAGTCTTGAACAAAACATCAACGCATAGCTTTTTGCATTCTTTTTCAGCTGCTCCAGCCACAGGCAACTTGCCGACGGAACGTTTTCCTGAGCTGAGTCTGATTCGCAGCAGCAGTGTGAAGAGATTCCAGCTACCACCGTCACCTGGTGAGATTGCTGAAAGGATGATGCTTTTGTTTTTCCATGTGAAATTCCGTCACCTGGGAATCCCCATTCTGGGCCACCAGCAGTCACAAAAGGGTGCCTATTGGAGGATAGGGGTGCCCATTATCCACTCACTTGGGGAGGCATATGTGTTTTTGTTGATTTTTGTCCGGTTCCGAATCAGCAACGTCCAAGGTCAGAGATGTCGAATTGGATTGCCGCCCTTCGGAGCTGAGACACGGGGAGGTAGTTGATTGATGGGTCCGTAAAGCCGATGGACGATGGATGAGTGAAAGGTCGCAGGGTCTCATGCTGAAAAAACACAGGTTGAAGCGTTTTCGGGTGTTTTTGGACGCATTTTCTGGGGCATCGAATTCTTGGGTGGCCACATGGATGGAATGGAGCGCGGGTCGAAACGTGGGAAACGGCTGGGCGGCTGGGCTCGGGCCAGGGTGAGAAGGCTGAGAGATTCGATTCGGTGATTCCTTGAAGTTCATTTGATAACCATGAGTTCCAAAGGGTTTTTTAGGACCCATCCAGTGAGTGGATGTGACAGGGGCACCCCATTTAGAACTGCTGCCGAATGTCACCCGTAGTCCAGTACAACAGTCAGAAACAGACGAAGGATTACGAAGGTGTCGGCCTTTGTTTGTTAAGCGCTAAGCCATCGTGCCACGCTTTTCCATGTCACACAAAGGCCCAACCAAATGATCAAGCAGCTATAAGTGAGTTTTGAAACACTGCATCCGCATGTTTCTTGCCGGTTTGCTAGGTAGACGTGCTGCTGCTCTTGATGGCCTTTGCTTTAAGCCCAGTGCTAGCCGCTTGGGCTCATTGGATTGGCCAAAGCTTCATGCAACACTCCTGTACTAATAGAGGTCCCTACATAGAACGGAGCATTATATAATAGCATTCACCGCAGATGACATAGCAGGCTTCAAGGGCTCTAGGAGTTATGTATAGGCAGGTTGATGCAATTTGTTTTAGTTTTCCAACCAAGTCGCAACAGGTTTTCAATCACACCGTGAGAGACATATACGAAAATGAGAAGGCTGAAAGGCTCGCGGTCCTGTTTGGAACATACTTATATAAGATCTATATAATGATCTATGTATACATATATAATACAACACACGTGTGTTTGTCCCTTCTTTTTCCCCTCACCCCTTAGGAGGTTTCACTTTTGTGCCATCCCTCAAAGCCACCCAAACAGGCATGTCATGTCATTGACCGCCATTTCCGGTCGCGAGTCGCGGGTCGCGAGTCGCTCGGTTTTTCTCCTGACTGCGATGGACTAACCAACTAACCAGCAGAACTGGATCTCTCAGGTCATGTGGCAGATTTGGCTAGTGGGTCATGGCACCCGTATCCCTTTTCACCAGTGCAGGTCGACCGACTAGTCAGGTCGTCCATTCTGTTTTGGTGATCAACCCAGTGCCATCCGGTGCCATGAACCACAGCCAGAAAGGAGGTATACGCAGGTCATGCTTTGCTTCACCGGCGCCAATTGCCTGCAAGCAGTGGCGAGATGAGATTGGATGCACCATTGCCTATCTCACTACTGGGTAGCTATAGAAATGAGAATACAAAATCTAAACCATTACTGCAGCACTGCACTGTTCTTTTAACCCTGGGATTCTCAAACGGTCTTTAGGTGATCCGAGTCAAGGAATTTCCTGAAGACTTGGGTGCCAAAAATCGTCGACCTGGACTTCTATAGGGTTTCAGATGTAACATCTCCATCACCTCGTCCCGAGGTCCTGCGGGGAGGCTCAGCCGCCTTTCTGCTGGGGTGCTATTTGGCCTCCCTCCTGGGGGTGAAGCTTTTAGCCACTGGGTCCGAAGAAAATTGGGACCTCAAAACTTCGTGCCCGAGCCACGCCCAAATGACCTATAGTACCAGGAGTCACAGAGCTCGGGGTGGTGGTTAGTCCCATCCAGGGGCTGTGGATGTTCTGATGGGCACCTCGACTTCCTCCAAGATAGTTCGGCACCCCGTTTGGTGACTGCTGATATTGATATCACCACTTAAAACATCTGAAAACAAAAAGAAACACCAGGCCTGGGTCATCTTTGCGGCAACATGGATTGTTTGGGGCCTGCGTTTGCTCTCGTAGCTCATTCGCAGGGTCTGAGCCGTTTGGCAGCTCGAACCAACGCGCCAGCTTTCACCACATCCATATAGGCCTCAGATGTTGGTCAAACTTTCCGGGGAAAGCTCCCCTGCCCTAAGAATTGGGCCCTCAAACAGATAGGGTTTTGAGAACCCGGACCCCTGCTATGGAGGGTCCGACCTGCCATGGACAGCCCAAGGATTCTTAGGGTGGGTGACATCTCGATGTGACAAACATGTCCTGACATGACTTCGATGTCCTGCAGACGTGACATGATACTTAGACTTGACGAAGCTTCCGCCGGGACACATCGCGGCACAAGGACGTTCAGGACTCTTCTCCTCTCCGCTCCCTGAGGTGAAGAAGATGATCAGCTTAGGTTTCCCATATCCTGACAGCATCAATGCGTCTCGACTGGGTGTGTGACGCCTCGCAGCCTCTGGGGTGAACTGTCGGAGTCGGGAAGTGGAAATACGTCCTGTCGCGGTGGGCTACGCGGTGGGCGCGGGAATTGGGGGGTTGTGGTTGGTTAATTGGTTATATGGCGCCAGTGCCTAAGAAGCGGCGTCAGTTGCATGATGTTTGGGTCGTAAAGGCACAGGAGCCAGCTTGGATCAATTCCGACAGCTGAGCAGTGTCCATGTTTTCCTCTAGTTTAGGTCCTTGCGGGTCAAGGGCTGCGAGTCAACCATTCAACATAGAGTATGCAAACCATTTTGGGGGCTTTTCATCAGAGGTGCAAGGCTTTTTCCAAAGTTCTGGTGTGCTCCCTTTGCTCCAAGGAGGATGAGATCATATGAGATTTGCCAGTGGGTTGCGGTAAAAGATGTGTCTTTTTTTGTCCACTATGGCAGACTTACAGCTGCATTACAGGGAATCATATATAGAGACCGGGGGGGCGTTGTGGGTGTCCGCTGCTGCTGCTGTTGTTGTAGTTGTTTGTATTTTGTTTGTTTCATTTTTTGTTTGTTTTGTTTCGTTTTGATTGGTTTTTATTTTTTTTGTTCGGTAGACACCTGTCACCAATAGAGAGGCACAACTTGAGAGTTTTGACAGTTCCATGGTCAGCTTGGATGTCCTCCACGCAAAATTCCAGTCTTTTATCGGCGTAGAGTGGCATCACCATGCAACCAAACGCATGGAGTAGTAACTATATTTATAACACATATAGTAACACCTTTTTTGGAAGGGCGGGGTAGTTGTCAATCTTCTTGGTGGGGGTGGCAAAGCCACTTTTGGCTTTTTGTAGTGTTGTGCAAACGATTGAGTGCAGGTCCAATCTCCGTTGACTACGACCAACCTCCGAGCAAAAGGACACACACGTTAAAGGCGTCCATGGACGTTTTTATGAACGGCCTGCATGTTGCATCATTTTGCCGCCTGCAGGCCTTTCATATGGCTGGTGTAGTGCTGGTGACGCTGATCACACAGCTCTCCTATACGAGCTGTCGGAGCTCCACTGTTACCGTGACGGGTGGGAGCGAATCCGGCCACGACCCGCCGCGCGCCCAGTGCGGCTGGGTGACTTGGCGACGTGGAGGGCTGTGAAACTCGAGTCATGAAACTGTGGGATGACGCACGTGGATAACGCAATGTGGTGCTTTTTCCCTCATGCCGCACGGAAACCAAAACGATGGAGGCTTCCCAATGTGTTAATGTTTTTGCACCATGGTTCACCTATGTCGGCTTCACAACTTCACAACATAATTTCTTCAATTGAAGGAAGCCTTCCAGAACGTCAACTTCCCAAAATGAGCTCTTTTGGTTGGCCTTTCGTATAAGTCCTTTGTTCAGGTGCCTTTTTGAAGCCACTACTTCCTCCCCCTCGCGCTTGGAGGGCAAACAACCATTTTGTTGACCTTTCAGCACCCAAGCCACCTCACATCGACACTCCCCACACCTTCTTCAGCTCACCCGTCAGTCGAGGGGATTCATCAGTCGACTGCGCAAAGGTTTTTGCGCGGGCGCGGCGCTTGGCCTGAAAATGGATTGTTTAGATCCAAACCCACCATCTACCTGAGGAAATTTGGACCCCTTGGATCATCTATGAGACATTAATTATTAGACCCAAGGAAATGCAAGCAAAAAGCATGTGTTTATGTGTGTTCATCGTTGTGATTCTCAGTGCATTTGGACCCGAACGTGGCCCCCCGCACCCCCAGTCCCACCGAACCGAAGGTCCCATAGGTACCACCGAACCGTTCGCCCAAACGCACGGCGTCCCCGTTGGGTCAGGCCACCGAAGCCATGGAGGTCTTGCCCATCGCCTTGCTCAGTGGCCTCTCGCTCATCACGGGCCCTTCGCCCCGAGGTCTAGCGTGCCCGAGCGAAGCGAGCGAAGCGAAGCGAAGCGTTCGTCCGGCGCCACTCCGGGGCGAAGCGAGGAGGAGGAGGTATCGAACTGGAAGGACAGTGGGCTGAAGAGGAGATGGCACAAGGGCACACAAGTGAGCATGGTTCAGAATGGTTCATATAGACCCTCATCTAAAGTCATGTATGCGGGGGGTGCCAGTGCCATCTACTCTGAAACCACCTGTCAGTCGTTGTTCTTTTTTCTGGGTGCTTGATCCCTAGTATAGCTTCAACCACGTCCTCAGCTGACCCGACTGGCCTTCACCACGGTGGACCGCGCACCGCGTTCGCACACGCGGACGGTCGCGGGTGACTCCCGGAGCCGTTTTCGTAGCGAACCGACCGGGTTCGGTACGACATGGACCCGACGTTTTGGCACAGTGTCATACAGTGTCGAACACATCACCGTAGACGTTCGGTACGAAAACGGATCCCTAAAGCGAATGGACTCGAGGTACGGAACGCCGTCCCTCACCATGATCCACGCCCATGTGCCGAGCGAAGCTGGGTCGTGTCGGTGCGCGGGTGGCTTTTGGAAGCGGGAAGCGGGGAATGATCCCTCTACACATCCAAAGACCATCAAAGACCCACTCCTAGGGATCCACTGCCACCGAACCTCAGGAGGTACGACTGGGCCCGACGTTTTGACGCCTACATAAATAGTCTCCAATCACCGTACCTGAGAAGGTACTTGGATCATCTTGGATCCCTAGAAAACTAAAACCAGCTAAAACCTGGTACTTGTACCTTGTACCTCACTTTAAGTATATGATCAACTCCAGTACAATGAGGTCAGTTCCTGACCTGTAGGTTATAGACACCCAGGAAATCTGAGGTGATTTATAGCAGGTAAATACCGTAGCTAGAATGCACCTCCGTGCGAAGTGACACGGAGTGTGTAATTTCATGTTTGTGTTGGCAGGAGTGACTCATCCACAGCCAGGGAGTTCGAACTTGGGAGCTCCGCGCAGATCCCAATCTTCCAACACATCTCAACTGATTGTTGATTGTTTTCAGATTTAACACATCACAACCAAGGACCATGTGGGGTATACGGTATACCCCCTCAGCTCAGCTAGACAAAAAGGATTTTAATTTGCAGCCAAAGTGACTGAGCCAAGATCGAGACTGTCTCATCATTGACTCATATGGTTTGCACCTGTTGTTGGTTTTCAATATGTCTTCTGTTTTCAATATAGACCGCCATAGATTCACGGCCTCAATCAGCATACTTCCAACATCATGACTTCCACGATTGGAGAAGAACCACTTCAAACTAGGGGCACCTTGGAACAGGTTCCGTTGTTCACCTATGCCTATGAGCTCTTCAAGCAGAAGCGCCACCTGGCCAGAGAATCCCGGGAACATGTGGTCCAACCCGCGCGCGACGTCGTCCGCAGTAAGGACGCGTCGGCCGATGCTGTTCACCTCAGACGTGGTGGATGTACTCCTGGCTCACGATTCATTTCGTGGCAGGAGGTACCAGTGCATGGAGGTAATGGTACAATTTTAGACAAAAACGGAGTGAATCCTGGGAGTCTGCAGGGTGGGAGAGGGAAGCGGATATAAAGCGTATAAAGTCTTCTCAAGATCCCAGTGATGTTCCTTTTGAACATTTTTTCGGCTAGAAGGCGAAGCTAGGAAGGTGACCAATTAGCTGAGGCCAAATGGACAGCCGCAGTATTTTAGCGGTGCTCTTGGCGTGCGGTGGCAGCGCCTTCTGCGTCCAAGGGGTCTCTTGGCAGACGGATCCCGGGCCTTTGTTGAACGCTGTGAAGCTGCGCAGCGTGTCTTTTTCGTGCACCTGCCACGTGCATATATGTATATATATATATATACATAGCCCAGACACTCCATGGGACTGCCATAGGACTGCCGATCAGCTAGGGTGGTTGACTGGGGGGGTAGACGTCTGGGGCGACAGTCCGTCCTGGCAGTTCCAGACAGGTCGTTTTCGTGAAAGTCTTCCCCGTTCCGCGTCGCAGTGACCGGTGTCCTCCTTGCGAGTTCCGGCACGGGAGGTTGGGGATGGCTCCGATGTGAGGCGATCGGTCTGCAACCACCAACAGAGGTGGAAGAACCCTAGTTCGACTATGTTCGACTATCTCAGTTGAGCACCCCAGGTTTTCTGGGTCCTAGTTCAGGTGACGTTCCACCTCTGTTGGGCCTTGGCATCCGTTAGTTGGCCAGAGCTCAGCGGCGGATGTCAATCCGGTGTTCGTGGTCACAAAAAAGTTGGCTTCCCGCATTTCATTTGCATCCTGGTCACTTTATTCCTGCTGTTCACTTTCAACCTTCAGTGCCTCAAAAAATCACCTGTACGTACCAGGGCCCACGAGGGGTGGTTGATGGACACCCCGAAAAACCCTGAAGGGGCTATCAATGGAAGCCCCTGGTCCAGGTGTCCTGAGTGGCGTCCTGGTACCCTCTGACTCACTAACTTGGAAGTGGAATATAGTCCCTTGAAAGACTACTTTCCTTTACGAACAGGAGGTTTGGCACTTCCATGTGATGTGTTCGTCAGAGTGTATATTCCATGATATTCCTATTGCTGCCCCATGTGCTGCCCCAGTTTGCTCATCTCCCTGCACCTCGCCCGAGGAGTTGCTCTTGGGCCTCTCAATCCCGGTAACCGTCTCCTCGGCGCTTCTGGCCGCCTCCTCGGCCACCCTGCGCGCCGTGCGCGGCGTGTGGCAGGAGGAGCTCACGCGCCGGTCGCGCCGGTCGCCCATGCGCGTGGCCGCTCGGACCACGCCGCGCGCATCTTGAAGGGACCGAGGCCCGAGGTGACGGGTGGATTGACTTCAAGGCGACCGAGGTCACTTGTAGCACCCGCCTCCAGACGGAACAGAGCTGGTGTGTAACTGGGAAGGATTGGGTGATGTTCTCATTGAAGAAGAGTGGGATATCCCGTTACGGTCGCGAGATGTTGTTACTAGTATTGTCACTATGTTACTATATGATGCTCAACACCCAGGGTGCAAAGTCCAAACTCAGCCGACCCACCTTCCGGGAGAGGTGCCTTGCTGCTGCATTTCATGACATCTCAATCTCATGAAACTATCATGAAAGGCAGTCGATTTTTTCAATATCTTTCATCCACCATCAGAACAGGTGAATCAATGGTGTTCTCAGTCCTTGCATGTCCTGCTGAAGTCACAAAAACCACCTCCTCCCCCCAAAAAGGGGTTGATTAACCACCCGACTAAAAATTTCAGAGGTTCCTCTCATATATTCTAACTTCGAACCCATAATTGCACCTCAGCAGGCAAAGCATCCATGACGCAGCCGTCCAGCCGTCCGCCGCCGACCATCCAAACGACCTGCTTTCCTCGTGCTCAGGTCCTTTGGAGTTCCGTGTGGTGCCTCTTCCTCAGCTGCATCTTCATGTGCTACAACGATGGCCTCGCTGCCTTCCGTGCACTTGGGACCGCCTCTGTGGCCCCTCGGTAGGCGGAAGTGTGAGGAAAGGAGCGCAAGCAGCCAATTCGAGCAGGGTGGGCCAGTTCGAGGCGTTCGGTAGCTGGCGCATCGCACGGGGGTTTCTACCGATCTATAGATGCGTTTAATTCATGTGAATTCGTATGTTGATTCATGTGACTTCTTCATCGGATGACTTCGCAAGAATCATCACACCAGGTCAAGAGTCAAGACCAAAAGGGTGTAAGACCAACTTGTAGATGCAGGTGGGTTGAGATTTGATCCAAGGAGCTGAAGTTGATGTTCGCTGGCTCCATGGTCGCCAGCATTGGTGCCCCGGCGGTGTTTCTTTTTTTCCATCGCTGGCTCGAGGGTTCGTTCGCGATGCATCAAGCTGATGCCAGAAGGTGGGAGGAAGAGTTTTGATGTCAAGATGGACATGTGCAATGCCATGCTATGCCACGAGCTTCAGTTGATTGATCGTTTTGAGGGCTTCACGAACGCATTAGAACACCAAGAAAACTCAATAGGTAGAGAGTTTTTTGTTTTAGCAATCATATTCCACCCCAATCATTACACAGATTTGCTGAAGTGCACTTGGAAGATCACCCTACTCAACATGCTGTCAACTTCGATTGGAACAACCTCAGACATGGAAAGGCTTCCGACAAAGGTTCCCTGCTGAGCCTGGCTTTGCTTGGGTTGGTTTCTATTTTCCTGGTGGGAAACCCCGTTTGGTCATGTTTCTTTTTCTTCCCGGTGCCAACCTGGGCCTGGCACCACCGACACAAATGGCCGGTGTTTGTGCAGTCTGTGCATTGATTTGGAAGAGGATTTGGATGACTTGAGGGTGTTCACGCTGGGGGTCCTGGGGGTAGTATTCAAAGTATGGTGTAGCCGCCCATTACCCCTAAGAGTGGGCAAAGATGACTGCTATGTTTAGAGAAATCCTTACTAGCCATCATCATCCACTGTTACTGGTAGTGGGATATACCCACATTCAAAGTTGGTTCAACCGAAACCTTGTTATAGAAGTCATGAACCATTTTTGTGTGTTTTTTTGGGTTTTCCGTTGTTTGGGCCGAAGAACTTCTAAGGTTCTGCGTAACTTGCAGGAGCCATAGATGAACCGCTTCACGACTCCAGGACTCCAGGACTCCGCCACAGTGGCGGTCTGGGGCGGTCTGGGTCGATCTCCCGCGGCTTAGGTCTGAACGTCTCGCAGATGCTCGGCTTTGCAGGGTAGGACTTGCACAAGGGAGGCTTTCGGAAAAGGTGTGATTTGGAAGGGGGATTGTGTCAGGGAGCAGGTGAAACACAGTCATTTGCGGCCAGCGAACGAGGGTTCGTGTTGTTGATGGGTCCGTTCCAGCTTGCAGCTTGCGATCGCTCCATGCGCGTGTGGAGTTGTTTCTTTCGGTGTTCGGTAGATCATCGATCCCCCAACTGGGATTGGTGTGGCTGCTGCCCCGAAGCCGCCGGTAGAGTGACTCACTCACTGTGGATATCACTGTGGATAACCTCACTAGCCTCTTCTTGGGAGTGGGAACACCCCACTAAACAAGAACAGTGCAGAAAAGGGTGAACCTCTAATGTTGACCCCTCCCCCCCAAAACATACATTATAATGAGGGCCTTAGTTGAGGGCCTGTATTGATTTGTGATATTTGTGCAGGACAAAACGACATGATTCTAGGGGCGCTTATTATATCAGAGGTCTACTGGAGCCTCAGTTCGTACCTCGGAAAATGGGTACAGTATGGTACAGTCGTACCTGTTTTTATGGGCCCATGTTCCATTTTCTACCCTAAGAATCCGGGCCCTCAAACAGATAGGGTTTTGAGGTCCCGGATCCCTGCTATGGAGGGTCCGACCCCTGCCATGGACAGCCCAAGGATTCTTAGGGTAAGGTACTTTGGAGGGTCCAGGTCCAGGTGATTTTCCAGAGTTCGGTCGCCGAGGAGTCGGTCGATGTTTGAGAAGAACGGACATCGGAACTGCCGAGTCAGTCGGTTGGACACGGAGCCGAAATTCTCCCCCTAAAAGGGGGGTTCCAAAAGGGCTTCTTTTTACAAGTGGGGGAAACGACATTGCTTTTGGTTCGATGTTCGTGGCAAAAATGGCTCCAAGGAGCGATTCTGACCCGGCCCCGAAACGCGGCCCGTTCCCTCGCTCGAAGGGACGACTGGTGACCCGATCGTCTTGGGAAACCACGACGGCCTGATCGTTGGAGAAGGACCGGAAAAGGAGTGAAGTCTAAAGCTCCCGTTTGGGCTCCTGGCCCACCTCCGTTTCGAAGATGGGCCGAACGCCCGACCCTGAGGATATGGGACAGGAGCCCGAATGGGACTGAACACCTGCCCTACGAAACCAAACAGGCGGTCCATGACCGGGGTTGGACCGTACCGCCACCCGACCTTCACCGCGTGGCCCGGGGTGAGTCGGGGGCCGAAGCAAAGCCTATTTGTTGGTGAAGGGGCCCGGATTCTTGTCTTAGGGTGGTTATACCTGGACCCTCCTGTCGGGGTGCCCTGTCTGGAAGCCGAACGGCCGGTAGTGTGGGGTAGTCCAGCCAGGACATTACGACAGGAGGGTCCTGGTAGATCGGTTCAAGTTTCCTGACAAGTGGGCTTGATCATCCCATCACTGGTCCATGATCCTGTTGCTCATGGCATGTCCCTTTTCGGCGAGGAACCAGATCTGATCCAAGTCAGGAGTTGTTGTTGCGACTCCCAGTGTCTTGACCAAACAGTGGGATGTTTGCCTACCGTGGCTGGAAGGGAAAACACGTCAACAGGGTGCCTGTCTTTCCTAATCTTTCAAGTCCTCCTCCACAAGTCCACAACTCAGGATTTTGGTGGTGAAAAGGATGGGTGCCTTGCTCCAGAGCATCATTGGGAACTTGCATGTGATCTTGCTGCTGGCCTCTGGGCTGAAAAACCAGCGAGTTCCCCAACGTGTGCGACGGGTGCAGGGAACTTCCAATGCTGGAAAGCAAGCTTATTGGGCTTCCAATGGTAGCAGTGGGGTGCAAAGAAAAGCGACGTTGAAGAGGCTTGTCAAGTTGTCAACCAGCTCACTATCCAAAGAACATGAAGGACCACATGAAAGAGCGACTCTACGAGACCTGATCTTTGATGGCAGGGCTGTAGGGGCAACAAGTGTTGTGAGCCTTCTTGTGCAGGACTATGTTTCTGACACTCCCAGGGAGTCCACCACTTGCTTGGTATTGGAGTCCCTGGACTCATCGTGGTGGAGTTCACCACCTGCTTGGTATTCGGAACATGGTCATCCTTTCAACACCATCCTCCACGTAACCCTGATTTCTCCAGGGGGTGTATATTCCCGTTCGGGCTCCTGGCCCATCTCCTCAGGTGACCGGTGGTTGGACAGCACCCACCCCTGGCCCATCTGGTCAGGAGGTGGGCCAGGAGCCCTAGGGATCGATTCATCCCTCCATCCGATCACAGAAGCCTTCCACTAGCTTGCCTTGAACTCTTGACATCCACCTCGGCACCTTTTCAGGAAGGTCGGAAGCTTCTGGCATGTTCTCCTCCAACATGGAAATCATCAGAACTCCAGCTGTCACCAACCAGCTGTCACCAGCTCAGTGGTCCACACATCCGCCAGCATACCTTTTTTGCGCCACTTTCTTGAGGCCTTATCACAAGCCTTTCTTCATGAGATGATCATGCCTTACCAATACTTGGGCATCTCGGCCGGTCCGAGCTTCGCTTCACTCGACCAGTGGGACCGGTCGCTGTCGGCTGTCGATGGGTTCCGAGTCCCATCGACCTGAGAGGCCGACCCCGTAGAGTAAAGCATGCTCGGACCTTCGGGCCCCGGAGACGGACCTTCGGCCCCCGGATATTGAAAGAGGGGGAGAATCCGGGGAGAAGGGACGTGTTTTCAGCCATGCGAAACAGACGATTGGAAGCGTGGAACATGTGGATGTTTGAGATCCCATGGTATGGCCGAAGAATTTGGGCTCCAAGTACAAATACCTCGTGAGGAGGTACTTGGAGCTCTAGGGATGGTTTTGGTGTGATTCGTACTTGGCCAATCATGCAGATTCGTCAATGCGTTGGAGATATCCAGCGTATGACTCACATCAAGCCGCTAACCTGTGCTTGGAGCACTTCCCAGGTTGGACACACACGCACACACACACAGAGAGACCAGCTTGTGTTCTGTTTAAACATCGGATTTCACCTTAGCCTATCGCTGATTAGCACCCCCGGCATGGAGATCGTTTGGCGTTTGGCTGGGTGCTTTGAGATCGCAGGGTGGGCGAAGCGCCGAAAGTGCCTCACCCCCCACCGCTAAGGTACCTGGAAGGTGCCAGGTCCGTCCACACCGATCCAAATCGCACTCAGAACAGCGTTGCTTTAGGTACCTGGGGAGTGAAACACCCGACCAAATCCTCCATGGTTGTCTCCCAAAGGAGACGGGGTCGGGTCCCTGAAGCTGGAAACGTGCTGAAGAGGAGGACGGTTTTTTTGGAGGTGCTTTTCCTCTTTTCTACGTCATAACTCGCCACAGTGTCACAGGCATCATCCTGCTTGCCATCGGCACCTTTGTGAGCAAAGTGGACGCCCATGAGAAAGAGGCTGATGGGGCAAGGGGGCAAGGGGTAGTACCCACCTCAGCACATGGTGTCAGAGAGTGCGATTGAACAGTTTGGAAGGCCTTAAAGAAAAGATACAACAGCAAACATGTGGAGCAAGGTCTTGGAGCCAAACAAAAATCAGATGAACAACATACCTGGACTATCCTGTCGGGGTGCCCTGTCAGCCTAGGCCGGTAGTGTGGGGTAGTCCAGCCAGGACACCCCGACAGGATGGTTCTGGTATATTACAATTATTACAACGTTCTTTGTTTGGGCGCCGATTCCCGAGGCCGCGCCCGGTCCGAACTTGGACGATTTCCTCCACAGGAAGCCTGGCCAGATCGAACGAGCAGTTGTCCGACGGCTTGTCATAGCGCGAGGCCTTAGGTGTAACCCATAGGGTCCAGGTACCTCCTGAGGATGGTCTTAGAGGTGAAAGTACTTCCAGAGAATGGTCTTTGGGGCCAAAAACATCCTCAGCATGGTCCTGGACCCTTAGGGTAAGGGTTAGGTTTGTATACATATTAGATACATTATTATATTCCAATATCATATGTGGGGATCTACGAACTCTACGAACTTCTATCTATCTGGGGGGTCTGTATAATTAATGGGCTTCCAGACGCCACTTTATAGCCTGAATCCCGTTCCCAACGATTGTTTGACTGAGGAGGTTTACACTACCAAAACAGGTCAACCTTTCTTTTGAGGGTCTTGAAGGCTAGGCGATGATTTGTTGCTTTCACATATGTTTTTTGTGTAAGCCAGAGTCAGCCAGAAAACAAACATCTCAAACAGAACGCATGTTTCCGATTTCATGTTACCATTTGGAATTGGACAGCCAGCACTCCTTCAGTTTCCTATTCCTAGTATTTCCCCCAAAAAAGTAAGTATGTGAGCTACTATTTCCATATATTTCCATATACCATCGATGAGGATTTGACCTAATCATATCAAATCATCCCCAAATTTGCTTGGTTTGACCGGCCCCTACTGGTTGAAAACCCACGAGGCGTTGGGTTTTCCCCACTTCCGTCCCCAGTCCGTCTTTTCAGGAAGCTGCCGGGCACGGGCGGCTCGGAAAGCCCAGTCGACTCCGACTGAGCGAACCTCCCCCAAGGCCGGACGGAGGTCCGGTGGCACGGGCCCCGCACCGTGGAAGCAGGAACGATGGTTTTTGCTTCATTTATGCCGGTTTTTTTTGTTGGACATCTCAAAAAAACAACAAAAAAACAAGAAAAACTTCAAAACGGCGCCGCCGGGTGGTAGCCAAGAAAAGGATTGCAAAGAAGTGATCCAGAACAAAGGGTTTGTTGGGCTGTGGAACTTCCCAGGGTTTCTTGCAGGGAGTGTGCGAAGATTGAATAATATTGAATATATTGAATGCGGAAGCTGATGACATGGACCAGACTGGAAAACGGTTTTCCTTTCTCTCTCTCTCTCTCTACTACCCGACGTGGTTTTCAGGTTCACAATGTGGGTCTCGGAACCGGCCGCTCCCGAGGGTGCAGGACCTTGGAACATGACCCGATGATCCTCTTTCTAAAACTCAGGGTGTTGAAACATGCCAGGTGTTGCAATTGACTCTGACCGTGTTGGCCAACCCAGGCGAACACCACAGCAGTTTGCCTTTATGTGAACATGGCCAAACTTGTTGGCAACTGCCACCTGCAGGAGGGTGATTTTCGAAGCTGAAAAGCACAACCTCGTCGAGGAGGGGCACCCGCAAAGATTTGAAAAAAGACCTGCTTGAAGCTCCGTTTGAAGGGCCCAACTAGGTACAAAACACCCTTTTTGTACCGAATGACCGTGCTTCAAATAACCTGTATTTTTGGTAGACATGATAGAGCTGATAGACCCCTGATTTGAAGCCACAGATGTGGTCATTTGGTCTCGGTGGCCACCTGATAGACTGGGAAGACCGTGTCTCTCAGGCGCCTTTTGGGCTGCTTAATGAGTGTATGATTCTGAACTGGTGTTACCCGTGTTACGTTTGAAGGGCCCAACTAGGTACAACACACACCCCTCGTACCAGCTGCTTCCAAGGGGTCACCACTAAATATCTCCACACTACTTACAGGTCTTTATTGGGCGCCCCTTGAAAGTGCTAGGTACCGTTTCCTTGCATCAAATGACTGTGTTTCAATCATTATCGTTCATTAGATCTTGGTAGCAAGCCTTGAACAACGATTGATGGCTGTACACAATGTATAGAAACCTAGGAAAATGATGATGCCTCAGGTGTACTGACCAGCTGCACTGCATACCCAGAAGAAAATGAAAGACTTGTTTCCCACACATTTGCAGGGTGTCTATGTGAGTCCTTTCCAAAAGGCTTGAATATCGCTAATGACCCTTCCCCGGACTTTGCTTCTACTTGGCACGTCCCTCTCACCCGGAGATCGCATACCCAGCTTGGGGAAGGGTGTTCCCACGAAATAAGAATGGGTAATTAGAACACATATTATGTATAACTAGGGATCCATTGCCACCTTCTCAGGTTCAGTACGACTGGGCCCGACGTTTTGGCGCCTACATCAGAGTGTCTCCGTCCTCACCGTACCTGAGAAGTGGTACGAAAACGGATCCCATTCGGGTATAACCTGTATGACTATTTTCCAGGGAAACTGAAGGAGTCGGCAACATGTTCCCATTCGTTTCACCATGCCTGGTGTCCCTCTTCTCAAGGGTTGTGACCAACGAGCTGACTGACCTCGACTTGGCGGACTAGGAACTTGGTGTGTGGACAGTCCGTTCAAAAGACACTGCTGTTGTTGCATGGTTCCAAAGGCACCCTGGCCGTCTTTGATAGTGTTTCTTTGTGCTCTTCAGCAAGTAGACTTTGAGTATTTGGTCAGGCTGAATTGATTTCATGGTGCTATGGCAGTGGCAAAAAAGCGGAATGCATCCGTCTTCGATTCATTTGGCCATAGTATGTCCTTTCTCGGTCAGCTTTCAGCCCGGCTCCACTGCGTTCGCGGTTGACCGAGTGACATTTCCCGCGAACGGAGATCGATTTTCCGCCGCCCGGTTCGACGTCACGTCCGGGTGGTGCCGCTTCGTTGGGGCAGATGGATGGAGATGTGGAGATGATTGGAGATGTAGAGTAACTTCTTAAAGGAACATTGGGGGTGAAAAACGCCACCCTACCACAGCCACATAGGGCTAGATGGTCCGGGGATGATTCCGACAATGCCAGAATATCCGAAGATAGATCTCTAAGGAACCACACATACTCTAGAATCTAGAACTGTAGAGCCCTGAAGCACACAACGTAACAATATAAGCCCTGAAGCTTCATCGTGACAGGGTACCAATTGGCCCTAGAAAAATACATGGCCCACTCAACCTACAGCTCGCCGAGCCGGCGATGTCCTCGCGCGAGCTCTACATCGTCTAAACGGCTCGCCACCGGGTAGACCCCACCCATCTCCAGTCTGAGGTTTGGCTTGTCCTCTCGGGTCCCGTGGTTTGTCTCCACGTCTCGGCGTATTGGCTAGTCCAGGGTCACGTCTCGTACGTCTCGTCCGTCGGGTGACTGGAGTGAAGACATGAAGAGACTGGAGTGTCTAGAGACATGAACATCATGAACATCAATTCATCAATTGATAGAGACAGGTCATTGACTGAACACCTTGCAGTTCTTCACTCCCGATTCTTTGATTTGAAGCAGGGAATGAAGTCGACAACATGCCGCCACACGGAGATCATTCATCTCCATCCCCTCTTCGAACTGGCAGACACTGTTTTCCCTTGCCCACTTGGGCACCTGCGATCGATTTTGTTGCGGGACTCTTGGGTGTGGATCATGGGTCCCCCTGGGTTCTTGTGATGGATTTCTCCAACGGAACCATGAACGGACGCTGTTGGGAACGAAGGTTGCGACAATGGCGGGTGGAGCGAGAGGAACCCCACGCGTGTCCACACAGCTATCAGTCTTGTGTCGTTCTACCTGGTGCTGGTCACAGATTTCGCCGAACAATGCATGTGGGTGGTGTGTCAGTGCCAGGTATACCATGCCTTCACCCCTTCCATCTCCAGTGATTCACTTGCAAGCTCATTTTCCACCTTCTGGAAGGGGTTGCAGTTCATCTTCCACCTTCATGCACCTTTTGGGAGTGTTCAACATCCAAGGCCCAAGCTCAGCAGGAGCAAATCCACAGCCAAACCGCCTAATTCGACTTGTCCAATCCTCTGTGTACGGTAGCGGCCACCTGGAACACTTTGTTGCACAGATTGCCTAGCACTAACTCGTGAACAAGCATTTACAAACACCATCCGTAGCCCATGTTTGATCCATTGGAAACGATCAAGCCTTACGGCACTGTTCATTAATTAGACCTAATTATTAGATCTCGACCTGTGTTTAGCGGTGGCAGTGATTCTCGACCATTATGCAGGTGTTTGAATCACACAGGATCTAGTTCCCATACTCTCCATGTATGCCATATGTGCCTACACTGACCCCCCAAACCACCCCAATGTAGGCATATATATATATATGTTTGTTTTTAAGCCGCGTGTGGCTTTGTGGCGCCACCTGGAAGGCCCCTTTGCCTTTTGAGATCCAAGTCTTCATTTGACAAAGGTCTGATATCCAGATCCCGGGAGGGATTTCTGCGATGCACCGCGGGCAAAATCCATCAAGTGGTTCCCACTAGTAGGTAGCAAACCAGAGGCCACGATTTTCTTCTTCTCCATAACTTTGGCACCCAAGACTTAAGAACTCATAGAATTCTAATTCCGAGCCAATGATATCTTAACATTGACATGGTCAGTACTTGAACAATTGGTGATTTGGAGGGTTGCGTGGCCCCTTACACCACAGGTGCCTCGTCATCGTCCTTGTTGGATCATGTGTTATGACACATCAGCAGTGTCATCACGTCAACTCCCAGGTTTGATGGATGAATCAGGAGTCGCCTGTTTCTACATAGTGAGACCTCGGGAGTATACAAGGAGCCTCCACTGAAGGCGTCATCCACCCAGGGCGAAGTAACGTGGCGAAGTAACGTGGCGTTGTATGCTTCAAACGTTGGCGTTCCATGAGCCCGAGTATCACAAGAAGTGCCCAAACAAGTTCCGGGCGCTCCTTGCGAACTCTCCAGTAAGCCACTTTTTTCCGCTTGACATCACAAGATGATTTGAAATACTGTCGATGAGAAAGAAAATCAGGGCAGACTTTCTTGCTTCAAAGCCGCTGCACAGAGAGCCTTGCTGAAGCCTATGCGACCCCGTGGCGGAATTCATTATTGATTTATCCGCAGAACATGTGTGCGCGAGTGAAAAGAAGGGGGCTCAAAGAAGAGGCTCAAACCTGCACGATGGGTGTGCGAAGGGCATCGTCAAGTTTCGGAAAAGGATAGAACGGTTATGTAAGCTTGATGATGGAAGGAGAAAGTCTTTGTTCTTCGCAAGTGGCCCCTTGTTCCTGAGCAAGTGGCCCTTTGGATTTGCATTCTGAATACTAGCTTGGAAAGAGTCCAACAGAACTGGAACGCTGATCTCGAACGGCATGGAAACCTGCACTGATGGAAGACAACTTGACGCAGAAGCTCCGGGGCCACTTAAACATGGGGCGAGAAGCGAAGGGAGGCGATGTTAAGATGTTGGACCAAACTTATACCGTATACCACTCCTTCACGTCCACATTTGGTTGCTTGTGCTGAGGCAGTTTGCCGGTATCAGACGCATGCGACCCTTATGCATCCATCCATGTCAGTCCATATGCAACTTTGCAGATTGAAATTGATGTCCAATACGGGCACCGAAGGGAAGGGAGGTTGGGTTCTTCCGTGTTTTTTGGGCACCTGACGACTTCATGTTTGCCTTACGGGGACACGAGCTTGGCCGGCCACTATCTCAAGATCCCATTACATCATGCACAAGCCCCCACAGGAACGTCGAACAACAGGTCCGCAACTACCAGATTCTAAGCTTCTTGTCCATCTCGTCGACAAGGTAACTCACTCATGCCCCAACAAAAAACCCTAAGCTCAGGTGATTCTCCCCGAACATCTTCGTGGTGTTTTCATTCCCTAGGGATCCACTGCCACCGAACCTCAGGTTCGGTACGACTGGGCCCGACGTTTTGGCGCCTGCATCAATAGTCTACAATCACTGTACCTGAGGTTCGGTACGAAAACGGATCCCTAGAAATTCTTTGCCCCCGCCCTAAACACACCCACCTCCACCGCCTCCCACCGGCTGCTTCAGGGAGGCAGAAGCGCTGCGACCGCCGGCGTCCAGCTCCGGCGAGAGTCGAGCGACCACGGCCAGCGGCGTGCCCGGTTCCAGGCCCGACGCGCCTGATGGGAGCGGTGGAAGACGGGTCCACATGCGGATGAGAAGATGAGACCATTGGAGCCATGGTGAAGTGGTGAAGTTCTCAGGAGGGTCCAGGACCATCCGAATCGGATGTCCTTTGGCCCCACCATTCTTTGGAAGTACTTTCACCTCTAAGACCATCCGAAAAGGAGGTACCTGGACCCTATGGGGTGGTTAAGCATTATAATTAGAGCATGGGTATTGTAAGAGAAGAGCTTATTAGGTGGAAGAGCATATCTCGCGACCTTTGGAAGGAGTGACTATGGTGAGGTCGTGGGTTGGAAGAGTTCGACACAGCACCCAGTCGCTGTCGAAGAACTCGATGAGCGGGTGACCTCGTGATGTTTTGGGGGGGGGCATGCAGAAATTTAACAGAAATTGTGGGTCGTTCTGGTGTTCAGGATGGCGAAGGGAGGTGTCCCAGGTTCATGGT